ACAAAGTGGATGCAAACAAATATCGTATCTAGGACTGACATCACAACATAGTGACCCACAAACCATCTCTCATGAAGCAGTAGTCACAGATAGCTATGAGGTGTATACTTGAAAACGAGGAGGGGTAAATGTAGATTATAGTGTTAAAACTTCAATGTTGCGCAAGGCAAATGGTGCAGAATTAAAAACATTTATTTGCATTTACCTTGCTTACCCAAGTATCAACATGCAGGTCGGTGCAGCACGCTTGTCTCATAACTTGGCAGATGACAATAGGTCACAGCTGGGTAGAATGTCAATCTGAGATACAGAGAAATAAGAGGAAGGGGGGGGGGGGTGCAAAGAGACTCGTAGCCATAGCTTCCGAGCAGTTTACTCTCAAGATCTCACAGGGAGTGCTCGTGGCAAGGCATGTGGACAGGCCTTGGCAGGTAGCCTGGGTCCACGTGGCACAGCCAGAGCTTCTACTATAGTTCAGATTCGCAGAAAAAGAGAGGGAGAGAAAAAAGAGTGTGCTGCTCTGAACAACACGATGTCAGCCATGTCTGGGTGAGTCAGCATGGGTGGCTGTCTTTGATCAAAAGACATTGTCCCTTTTGCAATGTGTAGCCAATTGCCAATACATGTTGTCTGTAAGCACAGGGGAGTATACACCAATCAGTCACAACATTTCCTGCCTGCCTGTCCACTAAATATCTTCCTACAAATCCAGACTGAAGGTTCTGCATGGTTCCCGCTCACTTCATAGTTTTCTCATTTTTGAACCTAGTGGATGGTAATTCAAGGAGCAGAAGATGATTCTTTACTTACGTGATCTATGAAATTGGAAATGCGGCTGATACCTCTCTTCAGTTATTAACGTATGAAAATTGAAAAAACAAACGACTGCCTCTTATGCCACCACAATAGCTTTGATCCATTGAGACATTGACTCCTCAAGGCTTCTGAAGGTGTCCAGAGGTATCAGGCAACTATAAACAAAGTTTAACGAGATGAATGCTAAGACTCAACATCATCAAAAGCATTACCCTGCCCCATAGTCCTGATCCTGGATCTGAAAGACACACTCAGACCTGGCTGTCCACTATGTAAAAGAATACACGACTCATCACTGCACAATCCAGTTCAGATGGTCATGTGACCATTGCAGGTGCTTTTGATGGTGGACAGTGGCCATCATGGGCATTCTGACCAGTCTACATAGCCTCCTACCCAGAAAGCTGATCCATAGTGTGCTTCCACAGATTAAAAGCTCAAATATGTTTTAGGCTGAAATTAGACCCAATTTCAACCATATTCTATTACTGAAAAGTGACCTTTTCAAAGTAATGCAGTATCAGACAACAATACACAAGATTTGAATTATGCATTATACTACCTAATAAACAGGTCATTCATTGTATAACAAAAACATAATGTTTTTATTATTTGCATAGCCCATTTCTTTCATTTTGAATGCATCAAAGGCTCCCAGAGTCAAGGCCAGTGAGCCATTTTGTGGCTACTGCATACGAGAACAAACTGCTGTTTGTAATGTTGGCTGGCCTCCACATTACAGAAGTGAGTAAAACCCATAGAGCATTCATTTTTCTCTTTGTTTAACTTGTTGAAGTATTTTCGTAATGTTAGACACTTTGGATTTGCTGACTTTTTCTTGTCTTGACTGTGCAAATAATGTCATAAAACCATGTCAGTGATTCTTGGTCTGACTTCGAGCAGCTTGCTCAACACCTGATGTGAGAAGGAACCTGAACCTAGAAGTGGACTGGTACACACATGTTTATAATAGGACACACGAGACACCAATACATGATGTGACCTAAATATTACTCTTGTTTTTTTTCCTGTTTATGAGATATATCTGAGAATGTGTCTGCATGAGATGTTCCAGCTGTTATATACTCGGCGAAGTGAACCACAGATGCAACCCACATTTGAGGAGGGAAGAAACTCCAGGCTACCAATCTCAGTGGCTCCTTACTCTGTCTAACAACTTTAATGTGATGGATGGGATATATTATATGTTCTTTTAATGGGAACGTAAGCTACAGCAAAGTCAGTGTTGAGTGTTAAGCATCCAAGATTTGCTTTTAATTAAGTTGAAGTGAAATGTTTGGCATACAATAATCCCAACCATTTTTCCCTATTTCGTCACTTTGGACAACAACGGATCATCCATCAACTGCTGCAGCTGTTTCACACTCAAACGCTGTGACATCCTCCGAATGGAATGTTTCACTTCTATTTGAAATCATAAAATTGATCACAGGACATCAATATGGAGTTTATGAATGTCAAATCATGCTTGATTAAAGTTATTTATAGGTCGTACAAATAACATACTAACGATTGTATCACTTGAGGCAATTGGCAAATCATTCTTTTTTTGTACTGTGGGAAAGCAAAATCTGAAACATAAGGTAAACCAAGGACAGCTTGTCTGGAGTCATCATGTCATGCATGAGAGATCTCTTCTCTGTTTTAATAACACTCGTGTTGATTTCAGTGTGCACTTGGCAGTCAGTTGAATCCTCTGTATTTACAATGCTTTTACTCATATTTGCACGTGACAGGCAAGTATCATCAAATCCCAAAGGACTGACATACACGCTACGGTGCTTCTCTCTTAAAAGTGAATTATGGTTGACGTGTTTTTCATACTTTAAGAAAACAAAGTCCAGATCTTCGTGGCCTCCCAGCAGTCCTGTGACCCATACAGGTGACGGAATTATTGGACACCCTCAGCAGTATGTCAAGTGGCTTCCCGAGAAGAGCCGATTACGAGCGCTTTGCTGATGTTCAGATAAGCAGAACATTGGCCTCTTTCCTCTGCTCTGTTTGGAAGTCACTCTGTCTGACCTCTTAATGAATCAAAGTTATCACACATTCCAAGAGAAGCACATATACCACAATGTACTAAAACAATCACTGGATTCTATTGAGGTCAAGAAACTGGCTGGTTGATAGGGAGCCTAATGTCTATTTCATCTACTTTATCATTGTAATGGTTAAACAATTCAAAATGCACTGATCCAGGACCAATGAAGAGATAGCGAGGACAAAGCCAAGACAAAAGGCTTTAATCTTGCCATTAGAGATTACTAAAGTCTATGCAGAAATTGTGAGCGATCATGAACTTTCCCCTTTCACTCCTCAGAATTCGTAGTGTGCTAATAGCCAAGAGAATTAGTCTCGTAAAGAAACACGTGACACACATGCCAATTTCTTTCAAACTGTTATCCTTGATAACTTTATCGCTGCTAAACATTGCAGACAGCTTCAAAGTTTTAGAGCCTATAGTTCTTTGAAAGTAGGGCAGCCGTTTGTTTCCAAATTAAATAAACTGTTTCTCCCAAAGATTTAGGCTTTTTTGGAAACATGCATTTAGTGGTGTGAGGATGGTGGTAAAGCTAGACTTTAATTTTTATTTTTCCTGGTTGGTATGCTGTGTTTCTCACTCTGGTGCATGACAGGAGTCTGATCCCGTCGTGGTCCTGGCTTTTGTAGTCTGGATGAGTGAGTCTTAACAGAAGGGCTCTAGTAGCGACCACTTAAAAGTAGGCTTCAAATAGAAGCTGTCATTATTTCCCTATAGAGAGACAGAGGCCACTGCAAGGTGAGACCACACATACGCCTCAGGGTGTTCTGTTTTGCAAAGATTTGAATATTATCTTCACACAGGTATCATCCAGGGGCAAAAAAACTGTGTACATGCAATACGTGACCTTCGCCCATGTCTGTTTTGCTCATTAACAGAAGCAGTCAATCGTCTTCTCTACATGCTGGCTCGACTTAAAGGAGCTCTCCTCCTACTTAATGCTTCCTTAATCAAAATGTGTCAAAGCAGATTCAGCTACTTGGTGTTTAAGTTAAGTTCATAATTTCTGCTGATTCCCTCTGTCTCCTGCAACCAACCATTCCGCTGTATTGGAGTCTCCATTGAGTTGTCGACATTTCATGAAGTATCCATCAATTTCGACATTATTGGATCATACATACGCCTGCCTGGCATCCAGACTAACCAACAGAGATGGAGATTTCAACCACATGGCACTGGACTGACACTCCAAAACAGTCCTGTGGTTGGCAACATCCTTTCAGTCCCAACAATTTTTTTGAAAATAGCCGCCGTTTTTATAGAGTGGCGGGGTATTTTTAGAGGGCACCACAGGTCCTTTACTTGTCTGTTGCTAAGATTTTACCATGAATTTTCACTCCATACTAAAGATATGTACAGTGGGTGGGGTGTGAATGGATTATATAAGTTTAACTTTGAGATTTACCACAATTATACTATAGCACCTATAGCTGATCATCATGCTGCATCCACCAATGCTATTCCGTCATTGTGATGTTGCATCTCAGTGATGGCAAACCATGTGACAGCTGTGTGACCTGTTTAAATATTAAAAAAACGTGACTTGCTAAAATATGTCATTTGTATCTGATGACCTCACTTTGAATCGTTCCATCTGTGTGACTGAGCCATAGTAAAAGATCCAACATTTGGTCAGAACGACAATCCTCTCACTTATCAGCTGCCCGTTGATGGTTCTCCAGACATGACGCTCCTATTTCCTCCTGACCCAATTTCAGAGTTTGCTTTGGATGCAGCTTGTGGTTTATTGTGTCAAGCCACTGCATGTGGATGCCATAAATATGTGATTTATGATGGACCCATGTAGACTGCAGCTCTGGCTCAGCCTTGTGTTTAACTTGCTCAAGTCCTCAATAAGTACCTGATTTTACTGTGTGGTCTGTAAAAAGCAGGATAGAACTGTGGAGTATTGTATGTTCACTTCTACGTCTTTAGGCCAAACCTCGATGATGAAATGTTTAATTGAGATGAGCAAACTATAACTCAGGAAACTTGGAGCTGTTACATGATATGGTTTTGTTCTGTTTTGTAAATGTTTCAGTGACCGCTATAAGCTGTAGTAGAGCCCCACACATGAAATGTGTTGTTTGCTTCCTGTGAGAAACTGTCTGTTGTGTATCAGGGCCGCGGTTCAGAGGTTGGCTGGAAGTGCAATTGGGACCCGCAGCCAGGAGAGAAGGTCCTGCAGGATAGAAAGGAGAGGAGAGGGCTGGAGAGGCAGCTCCAAGAGATCCAACAGCAGCTGGAGATCCTGGGCCGGAGCCCAGAGATGACTGTAAGTTCAAAACAGCTACGTTCATTCACACACACGCACACACACACACACACACACACAGAAGTGTCTCCATGTCTTCAGAGCACATTACATGGACTTGCATTCATTTCCTGGAGACTTGCTATAAATCATCTTAATCATAACTTCACATTAATGCTGAATGATTTACATTTTGGGGATTAATTTTTTGTCCTTGTGAGGAAGACAAGTTTCGATAATGTGACAAACAGAGTTATACCTGGACCACACACACACACACACACAAACACAAACAAAACACATGGTTGAATCCACGTGAGTACTTCCACACACCGTCTGCGTTACAACAATCCTCAGAGGTTCTCTACGTAGACACGTGAGTGAAAAAATTATTACAAGCCCACAGCTCATACGTAGTCATTGTCACAGGGGTACGATGAAATCACATTCAATAATCATGTCTCTGAGGGCCCATAATTTTTCCTCTTTTTCTCCATTTTCCTTCTCTCTCTTTGTATCACTAACACACTTGATATACAGTTTAATATGAGTTGTCATTGGCTTTTTTTGAACAGAGCGATAAAGTTCACACTCTGCCATTATTTGTATGTCGCCTTGTCCTGAGGGCGAGGATGGACTTGTACTACACTGATAGCTTTGTGTCCTCCGTGGTGATTTCATCGCTTTCCGGCATTCTTCTCAGAGATCCGATGTCCGCGCTCCACAGCGTTTCCTGGAAACCATTGAGCTGTGTCTGGTTTTAAGAGCCGCTGTAGAGTTACAACCACAGAACGGTCGCTCTCTCCCAAAACCCTGTAGCTAAAGGTGCAACACAAGAATGTTCCACGAAACAAAGGTGAATAGGCCTGATTTCTGCTGTCTCTGACATTTATTCCTTTGAATTTTGGGTCCAGGAAGGAAAACACAAGATAAATTCATCGGTTTGACTTAGTCATTGTTTAGATGGGTTAGCTTCTTTCTGTCTTGCGCAACAAACTACCTGTTTGTTTCATCTAAGTTCTGCTGTGGATGGAGGAAAAATTGAAATGTGTCATCCAACACATCTATTCTAATACTGATGAACCACAGTGTGACGTATATGCCTCATTTTAATATAATAGATGCATAGTGAGGTAATAAACTCCACTAACGTGTGTTGTGTGCGCCACTCCCTTACATCAAACAAGGCACCATGCCAAGAAACCTCAAACCTATTCCTGGTCTAATTAAGCAGAAACAAATGGAATTTCTTTGCTAATTAAGTCAAGCTTATAGGAAACCGTTCTTTCATTATGATCACATAACATCAAAACTACCAGTCTCTTAACAACTGGTGCTAAACACACTTTGCATTTAGCTGTGTGTCACTGCAGTGTGTGTCTGCAATGTAAACAGCATCCTCACTGTGTATGTTCATAGTGCTACCAGGCTTGTTTTTTGGTTAGAGGAGATTTATTTGTGTGGAATTTGTCTGGGAGGGTATTCTTAAACCCTTTCACACAGCTACAGTTGCTCATAAAGTTGATTTGTATAACATCCGTAACTCAAAAGTCTCCTCAAAGTCCTTTGGCACCTGAAGTGTGTACCAACTACGCAGGGATTGTGCATAGTTCTCTGGTGGATTTAACGGCACAATAACTAAGAGGGGGTCAGTTTGTTTTTTTGTTGTGTTGCTTTGAGCAATAAAGTCAAAGTCGGAGGGAGAAAATCAGAGGTGGAACGTAACAAAGTACAAATACTTTTTTCAGGTATCTGTACTTTACTTGAGTATTTATTCTGCTAATGACTTTTTACTTTTACTCGCTACATTTGAACACAAATATCTGAACTTTCTACTCCTTACATTCTCAAAACTTGTTTTTACGCTTTTACCCACGGAGCACCTCTCGCTCACTCGTTCACCCCCTGCCTCAGGAGACGCATAAGCCCTGGTGGACCCTAGGTGTCCGGAGGTTGGTCCGGCTGGTCTACCGAGGTCGAGCGGCTGTACCTGTAATGATCCTTCCTCAGGTTCACCTACAGAAACCTTGTTCTGACTTTTACTACCTCTAGAAATCAAGTTTGATCGTGTTCTCTGCACTATGCCAGGGCCTTGACCAACTCCGGCGGGGCCGATCCGAGGACCTCAGTAATCCATCAAATCGGTAGTAGCGACGGGGGTTTGGTGGGGGGGGACTTAATCAATGCAAGCACATTCTCCATCCGTTTATTGCCTGTAGAGAATGACCCAGGTGCTCATGCAGGACCTCTGTTCTTTAAAGAGACAGGTGCTGAAACCATGTGTTTCAGACAGAGGCTGAAAAGAGGAACTGCAGTAATGGACAGTCTGAGGAAAGTAGTGCATTTTCTAAACATTAGAGCATGTAAACATTTTCAAGAAATAACCAAATTAAAATTATGAACCTGACTATGAGCATGTCTCCTTTAAAATATTAGTTCATCATTTTGAAAGATGTAGGTACTTCTTAAGAGAGTAAAATGAGGAGGGCAATAACACTATGAAGTGAGAAACAAGAAATGCTTATAGCTTAGCTTGTGATATCAATGGTCTCAACTAACTCCACAAGAATATAAATAAGCATATTCTCCAAAGTACCAAACATTTCCCTTATGTACTAGTATCAGTAGTATTTTCAATTATTCTTTCAATTTAGAGCCAGATTTTTCTCTTTTCCGAGCATGGCTCCAGTTCCCGAACAATAAACCACTAACACTGCCTTATAGGAGGTTACCGTAATTTTTTTGAATATTTCGTCCAAACCTAAACGTGTAAAAGCAGAGATGCATTGGCCCAGATGACACTGTTTGTTTCTCTGTCTGTCAAAACATTTCAAGAAGCAGTTTTATCTTTGCCCACTTACAGTCGGTGATGACAGGAGCAGAAACTTTGAATCCTGAATTCCAGAGGAGGAAGCCAATATAAGAGTTTGACAGTCTGTGAATTTGCTTTAGCAATATGTTTGCAATAAAAATGTTTTACTGTACCATATATCTGCAAACCCCCAAGATAGATTGGATATTAAATGTTTTCCCTGCGAGTGGGAACCGTGCTGCTCTGTGTTTAGTCTGGCCAGCTGCTGCAGCACACCACTGCAGAGGTGGAAAATGTCTCATGCGTTGTGGCAGTGGCTACAGATTCCTTCACTACTTCAGCCTGATTGATTCCAGTGTGTGATGTTAAGAATTCAAGTGTTTGTCCGGAGAGTTACCTGGTGATTTATTCAAACAAAAGCTGTAGTGAGCTGGATTCAGATCTGAGACCAGTGATTCTGTGCGTCATCCCCGCTTCTCCCTCCTCTCCATCCAAGCAAGACCCCTTCCAGTGCAGATCACTGCTTTGCCAAAGAATCTCCCCTTTCACCTTTAGATTTCTTTTTAAGCTGATTGTCAGTGCAGTAAAGGCTTGGTCCTTTCCTCTTTCAAGAAAGGTCTTTGACTCTTAACAACATAGTCAAGTCCAAGTTACTCAACAGCTGATCTGGTGCAATAGTTTTGCTTCAACTTTAATTGGCTGCTTTCCTACATCAACTGCGAAAGGAAGGACAATCCCAACATTTACCTTAATGCACAATGGTTCCATAAATCAGCTTAATATGGCCAACATCATAAATCATACTTTCTCTAATATATCTCTCTCTAATCAAGTAGCTTTAGGCTCTTGTGTTTTTCTATGATACAGGAAGACAAACAGCCTCTGAAATGTTTTGGTCATAACTCACATATTGAGTATTTTAGCACAAATTAGTTTTTTACGTGATAAAATAAGAATTGGTTTTTCAGAACTTTTGTTAAAATGTGGTTATATCTTCATGTAATTATGTCTGCACACTGTATAGAAATGACACTGATTGTGCATTAAGTCGAAACACACACCTACAGCCGTTGTAATGCATAGAGACCACACATCCATGACCGATCAGAGAAACTTTTCAGGCCAAAATGTTGAGCAACCATTCCTTCTGGCAGCTCAGCAGTTTCACCAGAAAAGAGGATTCATGAAGAGACAGGGATTATTTCGCTTTCAGCATTTTATTTTCTACTTCATTCGATTGAAAGGGATAGTTCACAGTAAAATGAAAATTCACTCATCACATTTTCAGTGAACTATCCCTTTAATACCATTCTCTTTGCACTGGCGTAATTCTGCTGCGTTAAAATCTCAATATCTGTAAATTAAATAAAGTTGAAAGTTGAAAATAAATTTGAGTTCCTCCTCCTTTTTGTGAAGGAAAATATATGATGTTATAATAAAAACTAGCTGTATACTGCATTTTTTCTCCTCCTTTTTTAAAAGAGAAAGTTCTTGGTGTAATATGATGTATAGTCTCTTTCTAGTATATCATCAAATAGAATACCGAGTCAAGACAACAGAATTGGAACCATTTTAAGTTTGAAATCAGACAGCATAAATTAAGAAAATATTTTAGAATTTTGAATGATGATTTCTGATGATTGATTGATTTTTGCGTAACCTACTGCTAAACAAACCAACAACCAAATGGACACGGGCGAAAACACGAACCTCTTGGCGGATACATTTACGATGATGTCACGGCTGCTGGCTCACATCAAAAATTAGCATCAGCATCTAAAGCGAATATGGTGTAATGAAGAGAATTCCTCCCTATATTAGTGGAGCACTGGCCCCTGGGCCTGTGGCTGATAAAGCCGAGGTATGTGACTGAAGTCGGTGACCTTGAAACCCGAGCAGCCCTGCACTATGCGCTTACAGGAGCCAACAGTGAGCTTTACAGAGGCGGTGGTCCATTGCAGGGCAAAGCTGCGGGGCTGAACAGCTCCTGCTTTGTCAGTTTCAACTATCTGCTGGAAACTGATACAACACAAGAACTGAGAACTTTTATTTTTCACTGAAGGTCAGGAGGTCTCTCCTCCCTTCCATTGATTGTTGGGGGAGGAACTGGATGCCTGCTGGGTCTGGTCACACATTAAACTCATTGTCATTTTTATGCTATTCAAATGTGCAAGGAAGACGAGTAAAGACTGTGATAAATGACCCTGTAATGAGTTACTAGAACAGTGACAGAGGTTTTCTCTTGTGTGTGTGTGGCTACAGGCCAGAATTAGACAAATGCAACAAGCCTGCTGGGTCCTCATAGCAGGTGAGAGAGTCGGAGCACCGGGAGCAATGTGCAATAATACTGTTAATAGATACAAGATATATACATAGGACGTAGGGATGGATTTGACTCTATACTTTGTCTCCTCCAGTCCTCACTGACTTTAGGTGATGGGACATTAATGAGGGATGCAGTTCTTTCAAGTCGCTATATATGCCCATTGAGCCAGTCAGCCCACAGCAGAAGCTGTTGTTATCATTCATGGAATTACACATTAGAGGAAAAAGTCAGCCAGTGAGGCAAAAAAATGAACTTTGACAGCATTTGGATGCTGTTAAAAATAATGATGATAGAGCAGGAGACAGAAAAGGCAAACATATCCTTTAAATCATTCCCAATTTCCATCCATCTGTTATCTATACTGTGATCCTGTAAGGGTTGCGGGAGGAGCTGGACCCAAATCCTAGCAGACATTGGACAAGAGGCGGGGCATACAGCGTATGAAATGGCTGTTATATGGGGATAAACAACCATCCACACTCATATACACACCTACGTTCAATTTAGAGTTTCCAATTAACCTAACCCCAATCTACATTTCTTTGGACTATATCAGCCGCAGTCCCCGGAGTAAATCCATGCAGACACAGCGAGATATGCAACCAAACCAAGAACCTTCTTGTTGTGAGGTGACAGTATTCACCACCGTTACATCCTATCACAATGTCATTCTTCTTCTATAATTTATTTGTTGTGATTTAGCCAGTGTTCAGTATAAAATGCACAAGGTGATATTTGTAGATGACTGTTGTCTTTCCATAAAGCTGGGAATGACTCTGCTTCAAGTGTAACAGCTCACACAACCTCCCACTCTTGCAAATGTATTTAATCTACATGTGGTTTTACTAGCAGCAGCTAAAAAATAGAAGTTTGTCTGCTTGTGACAAAAGTTTTAACTTCTCACGCTCTGTTCATTACTTTCGTTGTCTGATAGTATTACAGTGTTTACACACTTCATACCAGGCTCTACATTGATGTTCTTCTGCAACTGAGGAAAACTCAGCGTAACTATCCCAATCAAATGAAGCATTCGTTTTTTCTCTGGACAGTGGCAATTTCCTCTGATGTTTACTGAACGTAGCTCTACCGCTGCAGCGTCAGTGGATGGACTGAGATGAGCTGAAGTGGCCTTATTGCTTTAGTTTGACTTTCTCTGCAGAGACTAGACAGACATTAAGACAGAAAAACATATCAATCATCCAAAGCACCCTCGTATTAAGGGTATCTGAGGTCAACCACAACTGCCACAGGTCACAGCATTTTGTCATCGCAGTAAAATACACTCTTTTTCTCCTTCATCTCTTTTTTCTCTCCTGTCTGTAGGAAAGTCTTAACTTTCAGTTGCCATCTCTGAGACGGCTGGTACTGGTTAAAAGCAGCTCTGGCTATTAATACTTCAGCCGGTGGGGCACTTTTTATATTGCCCCATTCATGAGCTCTCAAACAGTTACATGCCGGTAATTGACCACAAGTTTTTTTTTTTGTACCATACGTCTCACGTTGCAGTAATGGCTCACTTACGTTTGTGAAAATTTATGCCACTCCAAGAAAATATTTTTTGTCTGGAAGGGACGCTAAGTGTATGCCTAGAAGCTAAGCTGTCATTATGCATATAGTTATGTATGTACACATAGAAACATACCAAGGATCTGCCCCCCTCTGACATTAACGGTTGAAGGTCAAGTGCACAGGAAAAAGGCTGTATCTTGCTACTTGCATGTCAAAGTACAAAAACACAGAGTGTTGCAGGGGGTATCACTGCTGGAATGTGTCCATGGGGCCTGTGGCCTGTGGTATAAGATGACATGCAGCGTCTAGGTAATTGCAGGGATCATAAAAGAGTAACACAGGCCAACCCGCCATGACTGAAAGGGTGTCATTACATTGTGGAGGACTTTGAACATGGACAGGTTTGTCTGGTCAAGATGTTTATCAGCAACTGGGATCTGGCGAGAGGCTGGAGAGGTTTCAGAGGGTGGTCGGCTCAGAGGAGGAATACAGATGATCGATGAAGAGTATTAGCTCCAGCTAGTGGGGTGGATGAAACACAGGAATGTGATGTTGTCTTAAGTGACTCAGCGGGATGTAAGAAAAAGGTGAAAACAACAGCACGGCCATAATATCCTCTCTGTTTTAGAACAGAGGGTCTGTGATAAGTCACTGTGTGTTAATCCTAAAGTTATTGATTGTTTTCATGTGGCCACTGTAATATAGGAAAAAGGAAAACTGTCTAATTGAATAATTTCTTGGATTTAATTTAGCCGCACCATAGACTGTATATGGACGACTTGTCTCCACTTCCTTCCTGTTCCTGCCATGAAGCTAAAATCTCCTGGGTATGGGTGCCGCCACCTTGAGCTTAATACATCATATGGAGCCAGAGTCGTGATTGTGATGTGAAGCCACGGTATCAAGGTCTCACTGATACACATATTCATCCAATTGTGAGTCAGTCTCAGAACCCTCAAACCATAAATACCATAAATAATTAAAGCCAAACTTACTGGAAAAATTTAACATCAGTTTCATTTGACAGAAATTTAATGGACATCTTGTTTCTTATTTTTTAGTTCATGTCCCATTTGCTAGCATAGAGGGGACAGGGTTTATAACCTTTTCTGCGGCCGGGCCACCAGGGAGCGAACAATAAGCTTTGTCTCCTATTTTGTGTAGCTGTCATGTCGTCCAACTTTGTCTCCAATGTATTATTTGCGCGTCATAAGAGCTGTCGACGGTGTCAGAATGCCATAGAATCAGGTGATCTTCTCAATGGAGTTAATACGTCACTTCCTGCCACTGCCCGGCTACTCCACCTCTTGCCTGAATAACGCGGAAGATTTAATGCTGTTGTGAACGCGTCTGTGCAGAAAACCTCCCCCTGCATTGTGCATGTTTGAAAGGCAAACTCTGGGTAAACTCTGTAGCCACTTCTCCAGGTTTTACCCGGAGGTCATGTCTGAAAACGGCTTAGATGGCAACGTTAATTCTTGTTTGGGTTAGTACAATGAACTGATTTTTCTTCCGAAAACAACTGCATGCTAAAGCCAAATAGATTTTTCTTTAAAAAGTTCTGTACTCAACTCCCTAGAACCAGACATCTGGCACTCATAGTAGCAATTATTTCGCAAACATTTAGCTGCTAAGTAGCCAAATATTTCCCCCAAGAGTTAGCATTGATGAATTAGGTGTCAACCAGCATGATTCCAAATGAATCCTTATGTTGCTGTGTGACTTGTGAATGTATAAAAAGAAAACAGTTAGCTAACGCTTTGTGTCTTATTTTTTCATAAGGTGATAATGATGTGTTTAATATTGTTTTGTTGCCGCAATTTGGGGAAAACAACCAATGAATCCTGCTTTTAGACTTTTAACTGCTCTTATCTGGATCAGGGTCAGAATGACTGGATGACAGGAGTTCCCTATTATAAGGCCAGGGACATTCTGTTCGACTGGGATGACAGCTAGAAACACCAGCTCACATGCTGAGAGAATGAAGACAATGATTACCGTTCCACTCCAGAGGTTTTAAAGCCCTGCTTTCCTGCACACATTTCTGGGTTATTGGTCATGTCATGAAAGGTAATGAGTTGATATTATTGGAACAAATTGACTGTTGATTTGCAGCTGTCTAAACACAGTACAGGATCCTCACACCAAGAGATGGTAACTGTCTATGAGCACTCATGCATCGCTAAATTAGTCATGTCTCTTCTTAGGAATCAAAAGTTTAGTCAAATTATTTAAAATCAAAGACTTTTCTTGCTGTTGCTAAATAAGAAAACACTACCATGGAAACATATTGACATTGAAACCCACCCCTCTCCTCATAACCTAGTTTAAGAAGACTGGCTCTCCTCCTTGAACTCACATGCAGTCCCAGAAGGCTGCCTGTGAGGAGTTGGAGTTAAAAAAAGCAGTGGTTATATCCAACTGGAAGTGTTTTTTTCCCAGACAGCTTCCAACTAGGCACAGGGGACAATCTCAGCAGTGCACTTCATTATTATGTACTGCCACTGTTATCGCAGGTCATGCATTAAGGTGGATTTGTGAAAACAGAGTTTTAAGCCCAGTAAAGGATCTTTTTTTAAACAGGAACAGGTTTCGGGAGGATGTTAGGAAGATATGAGCAGTTATATATAGTGACGATTATAATCCAAAAAGCAGTTTTAAAAAGAGTTTATAGTCAACAGTTTCTTTTGGTCAGGCCATCTTTGGTTTGAGGGTTGTGTCATAGGTGAGGAGCAGGATAGGAATGTCTAGATTGTGGAAGCAAGTGAGATAATGGGGTCTGGAGGCTGAGCAGGGCAGCCAATGAGGCCATGATCTATGTGAGCAGGAGACCAGGATAGGTGGTGAGGCAAAGATGCAATCAGGAGACAGATCACAAGGATTCAGGTGGCAAATACAATTCAATGCCTAAATCGCTTGAGGAATAACAGATTAGAACTTGGCCATGATGTTTGGACCACACTGGAGACTGAAGGATCTGATGGAGCACACAGGCAGACAGCAAGAAGTGCAAACTGGGGACAATCTGCCACACAAGCATTGAGAACAGAGGCAAACACACAAAGTGAGGTAGCGCAAAGTCTAACCATAGCATTGTGACTTCTGTAATAATGTGACATTGATACTCCTACCAGAGGTCTCTCTGTAACTGAGTCTGAGTGGAGTGGTTATAAAATAAATGGTGGGTGTCTGTGTGTTCACATAAACACATTCTTGACTTATACTTCTGAAATCATACGTATTGTCTGTGTATTTTTGCAGAACGAGTCTCCAGACCTTACGGAGGAGGAGTTACTCAGCCTGCTGGATGAATGTGAGCTGACTGAGAGCTGGATACAGGAGCTGGAGACGACTGACACAACACGATGAGACTCTTAAGAAGACACACTGACCACTTCAATCTGAAGCATAGACTATATGATCTGATGCCTTGTTCTCAGAGAATCTGTCTAAAATACTATATCTTGGCTCGATGTCGTGAGACAAATGTGACAGCTTTAAGATATATGTAGATATAACATGTCTTATACCCATTAAAAAAACAAAAACATTATTCACAATGTGTCAGTATTAGTAAATCAGTGAGTTCATGTTGCAGCTGGACACCCCTAACCTCACCCTCCCCTTCCAAACATGAAAGAGAACCTGCGGAAAACTTCAGTTGTCATAAAAACTCAAAAGGTGTTTAGTTTGTCCAGTCTGGGCTACTGAAGAAAACAACAAATCCGTACAATTTAGCTGAAACACACTAGTGAAAACATCACAAGGATTATTTTACATTCAATTTCTCTCAATTGATCTCTTTCACCTAAATCTTACACACTGGACCTCTAATTGACAAATTAGGCAAAAGAAAACTTTTTATCCTATTTATTATAATTACTAGTTTTCAGGGCCCAAGATGCAGAACACAGATACGGAGCGATACAATTTTATTGTAACAAAGACTTAAGGTAGTAGTGGACAGGTAACGAAAAAACTGTATGTGAACAAAAGTGCAGGTTCCAGTTGAGTGACACAAAATACAAAAAACTTCCAGGGCACAGCAGACAAACTGAGGGAGTGGTAGTGTGAGCACAGGAGAGATGAAGTGAGCAGCAATCTCAATCTAAAAAATCATTTTAACAGGGTCATACAAACACAGAGTTAAGAGCTAGTTTAGCTTGTAGGTGAATGGATGATCTGACCCACCAGGGTTTTTATGCAACAGGAATCAGGTGGGGTAGTGAGCCAGATTGATTTCAGCTGTACTTGATTAGGAGGAGGGAAAACTCAGGTAAGAGGAGGGTGACTTAGCCACACCCTTGAAAACAAACTCAGGAGATACAGGGAGGGAAAAAAGAAAAAACACACCACCCAGGAGAGGTGGAGAGACATACTGCCAGATACTATCACATATAAATGCATTGCTTCCTATTGTTAACATGCATGTTGGCATAGCCACAAGAACAGGATGTTTTCACCTATATGCTTGTGTGTGGACAAAGTAACTCAACAACATGTGGATAGACAGGAATGAAATCATCATGACATGCTTATGAAGTCAGAAAATTACATCATATAGCAATGTATTAACTTTTGCAACGAATAAGGTATGGGACACAATCTTATTTATTATAACATTCATCATCATATGCTTGTAATGACATCATGATGAAATGGCATTCTAACAATATATAAAAAAGTTTAACATGTTTGGGGTGTATACAGTGTGAATGCATCACCCGTACGAGGCTTTTCATTTTCTTTTGTTTTATTTCTCAGCCCGAGGACAAAGAGCCGCTGCGCCACCCATTGTAAAAAACTAAGTATCATAGATGAGAACAGAAAATTGCTGTCATTAAATCTAACAACTGTGTACGCTCGCCACAGAATGTTCTCTCGCAAACATAAAAATTAACTGATAACAGTGTCTGTGGGGTCAAGTCTGTGCACTATCATGTATTTAAGTTAAACCAGCTCCTATGAAATATAGTACTGCTTGTTAGTAACGTGTGGTCAGACATCCAGCATGGCTGTTAATGAGGATGGAGGGAGGATATATGCTCCACATGAGTGATAGTCACATTCACTTCATTTCCAAACATTCCTGCCATTCCTGCCTCTATAGGTGATCTGCCTCGGAGTGGGTCAGATTAGTAGGATCTTCTGAAACTGGAGTTCTCGTGACCTCGATCAAGCTTTGTTTTCATTTCCAAAAACAGAACTCCATTGACAAACGATTGCCATCTCTTAAATTCATCCCCTTTGGTTTGTTTTGGAGATTTGCTGAAGCTGCTCAGACAGTTCCTATTTGTTCCTGCTTGCATGGCGTGAGTAGCCGTCTGCACCTGGTTGACCTCAGCCCAGAGATCATGCCTTTCCTCTCTCCTGGCACTCCGGACACCTACGGGCCCATTCGCCTCACTCTTCACCTCAGCCACACATTCTGACCCCGTCTAACCAACAGGAATTATCTCACATTCCTCCGGACTGAAACACGTCAGCCAGGTGAGCCCCACAAGGTCAAACCCAGATGAGAGGCCTGCTATCGCTATCTGTCCAGGAATCTAAACAGACGCCTCTGCACGCGTCTGACAAAGCATGCAATCATTTTTCGGACTGACTGCACCCGGTCAGACTTGAGTTTTATACAAATTCCATATGTTTGTAACGCTTCCATTCGCATATTATTGCCCATTTTACAAACACCATCCATGTCATTGATGTGATATATTTTCAGGAGGACAGATATTCTGCTCAGTTGGAGTAATGGAAACACAGTGAGCTCAGAATGGTAAGAATGAGGTCACTTCTAATGTAAAGAGACTGGCGGCATACTGAGACTGTTTGGGTTTTCTGTCATGACCCTCCCTGGTGCCTTAGATTACAGCTTTTTCTGGCCTGGGGAAGATGTAAATTAGCAGTCTGAATTCTTTTTGCAGACGATATTCTGGTGCACAACATTAGAGTCAGTGAACTGCTGATGTAGATACCTCATTCCACAATGCACACTCTGCACTGGCATGAGTTGGGACCACACAGCCACGACTTGAAGCAAAAGAAGCATGCAAAACTCCTTATGTGTTCGTCTCACGTAGAGTGTTGTCTTTTGAAGGTGTAAGGAGATGCCATGTGTCGTGTGTAATCAGATCTGTATGATGTGCTGTTTAAGTGGGTTATACTTCATGTTGAGTGTTCCTGCTGTTGACTCCGGAGAATACTCCCTCTCTCTCCAAGGTTTCACCAGACTCGGCTAATGGGTTCCAGTCACTTGACAAAGCGTGGCTCGGCTCCCTTTGCTTTTCTACGTAGGAAACTTCAGTCGAAGTGGATATGACTAACTCTCCAACTGACCTTTCAACCATTTGTTCGATCCCCAAAAAGTCACCAATTGTCCAAGATACTTATTTTTTCCTGAAATGTTTATTGTTCACTTGACATTACAAAATAACACGTAGGAGTATAAACAGCACTTAGGGTAGAAACTATAAAACAAAGTTTATAGAAAAGCTTCACTAATAATTAAAAAAAGACATACAAAAAAAAAATAACAAAGACATCCTCATGTCAGTGTGCAAATAAGTTTATACAGACAGAAACGCTTCCATATGAGGCTACGCTTCTAGATAAATTATTTAAATAGCATATATCTACACAAATGAAATAACCTCAACATAAAACAGACATAATAATTTATCCAAAAAATGCACAGGAAATACATATAGCACATCATAGTAAAGACAACATTTCTTTTTATCCTTTACGTTCCTGTCTGGGCTTCGTTTGCTACAAAAATATCTTATATACAGCATATAAATGATACTAAAGTCTTGCTTAGAAAAAAAAAAAGAAGCCAACCAATTTATACTCTGTTGCTAAGAAATGTGATTCTCGTGTATTGCTGGCCTCAATACAAAAAGAATTAATGAGGTAATATTTGTACATAAAGGGTTTCATTTGATTTTCCCTCGTCAGAAATGTACACACACGCACAGGCACACCAGTCATGCAAACTGTGCAGAAGCAGAACATGGCGATAGTGATCTATTAGTATTTTAACTGTTTTAGTCACATGTAATGCTTTATCTTGCCACTAGTGGATAGTGATTTCATTTAATTGGTTGCTAATAACATTCTAAGATGGCAAGGTGCAAAGATGAACGAGAATTAAAGCCTCTATGATGAATAAGTAAATACAAACAGCCATACTTACAATGGTTAACTCATATCAGGAAGTAGACTGGCCCTTGATGTTTATGTCCCTTGGTGCTTTCAGTAAAGATTAGATATATGAACATAATAGTGGCTAATAATTACTCTCCAAAGCAGTGTGCGATGTGATTGCTTTGGGCCTGTGCTCTCCTGAATTTTGTGCGATCCTCATTTTCTTTTAGTGCTCTTTCCTGAGAAGACAAATACTTTGGGCCAGTCCTAAGCGTCAGCTAAATACAAGACCTTGCGTATATACAGGTCTGTGTGAATGTGTGGGCAAGGGGTCATCAATAGAATTCAAAACTAATTTTGACTCAGTTTTGTGGCACACAAGCAGAAACACACTAACACCATTCATTCTCTTTGATAGCAACAGTCAGTCCATACTGTCCATGGTCCCTCAACAGTTCCTTCAAGGGGAGTATTTACCCCTGCCTAAGAAAGTTCTACTGCTTTCTTCATACTGACACAAGCTCTGAGTCCACAGCAGATGCAGATTAATGCTCAAAAACCAAAAAAGGAAAATTAAAAACATCAAGCACTCTTTGGTCCCTCATCCACAGAGGAAAACCTCCAACCAACAACAGTTCAGGTGTGCAAAGCAATAAAATGTGGCCCCTTTCCAATATAGATCAGAGCAACAAAGTGAGTGGGCCAATGTCTTCTCAGCAGAGCTGCGCTCAACATTTAAGTTTGGTGCAGTGGTGCAGAATCGTCATCGAACTTTCATTTGGCTTTAAGTCCTGAGGTCAGTTTACCTCACTTCAGCTCACTTGCTCGTCATTCCTCAATTGTGCATTTCTCAAAGGAAAAGGTCTAATATATTTTGATCCAGGTCTCGTATTATATATTCATATTGACAGACTGATACATTCATCCGCAAGGCTCTGTGGTCCATTTATGTATCTGAAAGAAATGAATGACAGAATTCCTGTTATAAAAAAGTCTAAGGTAACTTGTACTTTTTTAAAGAATAAAACATCACTTATGTGCTTACCTCTGCATTCATATTTTAGGTCTGAGAAATAAACCATCTCCTGAGAGAAGACGTACAAGCCTAGTCGCCCACCAGCGTATGTCTTGTCAAAGATGTTTCCAGAATCGGCCATGATTCTCTTGCCTTCATACATGACCACTCTAAAAATGAAAAGGTAAACATGAGCTACTTTTCAAAGTAAAGTGGGCAGGTTTACAGATGAGTGAAAGACTGCATGCTTCTGAGGATTTCAGCTCACCTGATAAGTCCAGTCTTGGGTCTATGGATCAGGTGCCACCTGTAGGCAGTGAAGTCCTTCCAGCCAATGTTCTTGGGGTCGTGCCACAGAGTGCGAAC